TAGACAACGTAAAAAGGGCTCTTGCCGGAAGAATCATGAGTGGCGTTATTCCGAGCAAATTCAGCCCAAGGAAGCAGGTCAGACCAATTGTCCTGATGGTGAGACACAAAACAACGGAGGTATTGCTCCAGAGACTGGTTGGCACGTTCAGCAGCCCCATTAGACTGGGGATGATAAGCGGAAGAAAATGAGAGAGAAATACCCATTTCTGAACAAAAGGCCCTCCAGAACCTGGAAATAAATTGGCTACCCCTATCGGATACAATAGATACGGGAATCCCATGTAATCGAAATACTTCTCTAGCGAAGATATGAGCCAGTTCCTTGGATGTGGGCAACTTGCGAAGAGACACGAAGTGAGCCATTTTGGAGAACCGATCCACTATCATCAGGATCACTGTGTTACCATTTGAAGGGGGTAATTCAACAATAAAATCCATGGACAGGTTAGACCAAGGTCTCTCGGGAACGGGTAACGGATGCAACAGCCCACAAGGAACTCTACGGGAGGATTTCATACAGGCACAAGTAGTACAAGCACTTATATAGTCAGTGACATCCTTTCGTAAGGAATCCCACCAAAAATACAGAGAAACAGCTGACACCGTTTTGGAAATACCAGGATGTCCAGCAGTCTTAGTATCATGATATAATGACATAATATCCCGTCTCTCAGGAACATCAACGAACAGTTTATCATTAGGCCTCTCGCTAGGTGCCATGCTTTGTTTCGCTTGTATGGCCTGCAAGAGGGACGAGGAAATAGACAAAATAGTAGTAGCTATTATCCTGTCTGGGGGAATGACAGGAGTAACATCAATCTCCTGTTTGTCAGTAGTTTCGAACTGTCTGGACAGAGCGTCTGCTTTAGTGTTGCGATCACCTGGCCTATAGGTGATAATAAAATTGAAACGGGACAAAAATAGTGACCACCTAGCCTGCCTGGAAGACAATCTTTTGGCTTCGCTAAGGTAGGATAGGTTCTTGTGATCCGTAAAAATGAGGATAGGATCCTTAGTTCCTTCTAACAAATGTCTCCACTCTTTAAGTGCTAAAATAATAGCAAGGAGTTCGCGATTACCCACATCATAATTTTTCTCTGCTTTGGACATTTGTTTAGAAAAGAAGCCGCATGGATGCAATGGCTTTTCAGGCGACTCTCTTTGGGATAAGACAGCACCTACCCCAATATCCGAAGCATCAACTTCAAGAATATAGGGCAGTGAGGGGACAGGATGCTGTAAAATAGGTGCAGAGGCGAACGTAGTTTTAAGAAATTCAAAAGCCTGAAGTGCCTCGGTAGACCAAACACGAGTATTGCCATCCTTTTTAGTCATACGGGTAATAGGTGCTACAATGGACGAGAAACCTTTGATAAAACGTCTATAATAATTGGAGAACCCAAGAAAACGCTGAATAGCTTTCAGACCTTGCGGTAGAGGCCATTCTATTACAGCAGCTAGCTTCTGGGGATCCATACGAAAACCTTTAGCGGAAATCAAATACCCCAAGAACTGGACTTCGGTTTGGTCAAACAGACATTTTTCTAGCTTGCAATAAAGACCATTAGCAAGAAGGGTCTTCAAAACTGTCGTAACATGCCTGTGATGAGTGTGTATATCTGTAGAATATATTAAAATGTCGTCCAAGTATACGATAACAAATGTGTGAATAAAATCTCTCAAGACATCATTAATAAATTCTTGGAATACTGCTGGGGCATTGCAAAGCCCAAATGGCATAACAGTATATTCGTAATGACCGGATCTAGTGTTGAATGCAGTCTTCCATTCGTGATTTTCCTTTATACGTATCAAATTGTATGCACTCCTAAGGTCTAATTTCGTGAACACAGTGGCATGTTTCAGCCTGTCAAATAATTCTGTAATCAAAGGTATAGGGTATGCATTTTTGATAGTGATTTTGTTTAGACCTCTATAATCTATACACGGTCTTAAATCACCTTCTTTCTTTGATACAAAGAAGAACCCTGCTCCAGCTGGAGAAGAGGATCTCCTAATAAACCCTTTTTCTAGTGATTCCTTGATGTACTCCTCCATGACACGGTTTTCTTGAACCGATAAGGGGTACACCCTGCCCTTTGGAGGTATAGTGCCAGGCAACAAGTCAATAGCGCAATCATAGGGTCTGTGAGGCGGTAATTTCTCAGCCTCCCTTTTATCGAAAACAGTCTTTAGAGATAAGTACTGAGGGGGTATAACCGTAGACAAAGGAGGACTGGTAGGTACCTCAATAGAATTCAAAGGTGTGACTTCCAACGTACAAGACTCGTGGCAGGCCTCACTCCATGATTTTATTTGCCCTGTCTCCCAGTCAAAAATGGGATTGTGAGCACGTAACCATGGATACCCTAATACTAACTGTGAAGAGGGAGAGGTGATGACCTGGAATCGAATGGTTTCATAGTGTAAAACCCCTGTGTACATGTGTAATGGTACAGTCTCATGAGTAACAACTGGAGAACTTAATGGTCTACCATCTATGGCCTCAACGGCCAAGGGTATCTCCTTCTCTCTGATGGGAATGTTGTTTCTCTTTATAAAGCCAGAGTCTATAAAATTTTCAGCTGCCCCAGAGTCAACCAGAGCATATATGTTGTCAACTATACAAATCTCTCCCATATATAAAGAAACCGGGAGAAGCAAGCGGTTAGGAGGCAATTTAGGAGACTTAGATATCACACCCAAGGCCAGTCCCCTATAAGGTCTTAGGTGCGAGAGTTTTCCGGGAGTAAAGGACATTCCTTTACCATATGGTCTCTCCTACCACAGTATAGGCAGAGTCCCTCCCTTCTCCTATGTAATTTCTCAGTATCAGAGAGTTTGGCAACCCCTAATTGCATAGGTTCCTCCTCAGACACTTTAACACTCTCTGGTATATTAACTCTGGGGTTAATGGGTGTAACAAAACGTCTATTCCTGTTCTTGGTATAGAGCCTGTCACGAATTCTATTATCTATATCAATGAGGTAATCGATAAGGTCCTCTAAGGCAATAGGAAGCTCCTTAGCTGCTACCTCATCCAATATCGTATCTGACAAACCTTCCATAAAGGCAGTAGTTAACCCATTGTTGGTCCAATCTACCTGCGAAGCAAGAGTGCGAAACTGAATAGCATAATCAGCCACAGACCTAGAACCCTGTTTAATTCTCATTAATGCTCTTGCGGCATTCTTTGACCTTTTCATTGTGTCAAAAGTTCTACGAAAAGCCGTAAGAAAACTGTTGAAATCATGTACCATAGGTCCATTAGCTTCCCAAATAGGATTTGCCCACTCAAGTGCCTTATCGGTAAGTTGGTGCATAAAGAACCCAACCTTAGACCTCTCTGTGGGAAATGAACGTGGATACATTTCGAAGTGAAATTCAATCTGATTAATAAACCCTCTGCAAGTCTTAGAGTCCCCTCCATACCTAGGAGGAGGTGTTAAATGGGCCGAAGTATTAGGCAAAGCAGATACTTCAGGGAGAAGGGGCGTAGGAGGGTTAGGTGTAGTTGCTGGAACGGTTCTAGCTATGAGCGTCTGGAGAGCCTGAGCTATTTGATCCATACGGTGATCCTGCTCTACAAATCTTGCCTCATGGGACGCCATCTGTTGAGCTAAATCTGCGGGGTCCATGGCCCTATCGTAATGTAACGAGAATATACCCCTACACGCAGGATCCAGCTAAACAGAGGCAAATACAGAGGAGAGATACGTCTACCGGACCTTAGAATGGCCGGACTCGACGTATATGAGAGGAGACAGAGCCAGGAACAAACCGAGGTCAAGGGCACAGAGAGACAGCGTAAACTAGGACAAGCCGGGGTCTGGTACACGGAAAACAGCAAGCCGGCAAACAGTACAGATAAGGATAAAGCGAAAACGAAGTCAGAATACGAAGCCAAAGTCAATACGAGAAAACACAACTGAACACCACAAGCGCTAAAGGGAACTGAAACAGAAACCACGATAGGGCAACGAGCTAAGGGAAAAAGGTAAGTTTAAATAGCTTTAAAACGAAAGTGATTGGCTCCTGTCACTTCCACACCCCCTATAGGTAATTGTACAGGGAGTGTGGTATGACAGGAGCCAATGGGAGCCTTTTGGCAATTAGGCTCCCACTGTCTCTTTAAGAGCGCGCCCGAGACTCGCGGCGCGCTCTTAGTTTCAGGCGGGACACGTGACCGCCTCACGCGGTCACTGCCCGCCTTCCATCCAAAGCAGTTGGATGAGCCGCGCGCGGCTCGTGCAGCCGCAGGACCGCGCGCGGCTTGAAGAGAGGACCGCGACCGGCCCCCGGTTAAGGTAAGTAACGCTACACCCCCTTAGTGTGCAGTTCCGCCCCACTGGCAGGCCCATCGCTGAAAAAAAGAAATTGTTTAGGGCAGCGGGGCCCACAGGAGTAACTGGGCCAGGGGCAGCAGCCCCATTTGCCCTGCCGCCAAACCCAGACCCGCCCAACAGACTGCCAAACAGTGAAGCTGCTCGGCCATGGAAACCCATTCCATGAAACTCCCTCAGCCTGGTTTTATGCTGATATTAATGTCAGTGGAAGTTTGAAACTCTACAGCTATGGATTCAGCAGAGCGTTGATGACTTTGATGCACCATGCGCCTCGCTGACCTCGCTCTGTGACTTTATGTGGTCTTCCCCCTCGTGGCTGAGTTCCTGCTGTTCCTAAATGCTTCCATTTCCAAATAATATCACGTAACTTATATAGCTGGGATTTAATTTGCAGAGGTGGCATCCTATCACAGCACCACGCTTGAATCACTGAGCTCTTCAGAACAACGTATTGTTTTCACAAATGTTTATAAATGCAGACTGCGTGGCCAGGTGCTGGATTTTATAGACCTGTAGTGATGGGTCTGATTGAAACACCTGCCTCCCAACACTTCTGTCCATATAATGTATATACGTGTAAACGTTCTTATACTACAGTAGCGTTTATAGGGATAGGTCTTTTAATAGGAAAATTAAGCAATTTAATTACAGAACGCAATGAGAGCAGAGATGCCATATATAATGGTGGATTTGTATGTGACGCACAGCCCAAATCTATGGAACTGTTTTGGGCAGGAAAGCCATGCTTGCGGTCGGTCAAATATGACCTCCAGCTATCTCCCGAACCCCTGAACTGATCGCTCTGATTTTTAAATATGTTGTTCCCATAATTATGCCCGTTCGTAAAATATACGTTTTAAGTGAATTGAGAAAACTTTCTTGAATACAGCCAAGGTACACCCCTAGTGGAAATGAATGCAAAACTATTAGGACGTGTACCTAAGAATTAGGGAGAGGACTAGTATGAGCCTGGTCCTTTGTAGCAAATACAGGATACAGGTTCATCTAGAAGGACCACTCTAGATGAACCTGTATCCTGTATTTGCTACAAAGGACCAGGCTCATACTAGTCCTCTCCCTAATTCATAGGTACACGTCCTAATAGTTTTGCATTCATTTAAGTGAATTGAATGTATAATTTTGATGTTATGAGAAATGTGTAAAAATTAGGTTTTTCTGCTTGAGTTAATACAGTATCTTGCTCAATTATCGATTTAAATGGGCAAACATTGATTTAAATGGGCAAACAAAGTGTTTTAAAATCCAATAAGCCCAAATAGACTTTTTAAATTGCAATACACCCCAGGGGCCATAGTCACAGGGTAGGAGACTGGCAAGCAGGCCCCTCCAAAAACTCATGGCAAACTCCCTTAAAAAGTTAAATTTGATTTTGTCAGTCTAAAGTATGGCAAATTTCCCCCGGTATATGGTATAAAGTATGGAAAATTGCCCCCATTATATAGTCTATAGTATGGAAAATTGCCCCCAATCCGTAACTTTTCTCGCCTTCAGTTCAAAACAGATTTTGCTGCATATATTATACAAAATATGTTCGGACCAATGTAATAAATCCTAAATGTATAGCAACAAATCTTTTTACGTTAATTTGAACATTTTCTGCATTCCTTGTTGTGGGTACCAAATGGCTCAGATTTGGGCATATTATCTACCTAGGTTTCCTTTCCTAAGTAGAAATTTGGAGATTAGCCCTGATCTTCAGCAGAGTATTGAGAGCTTGTAAAATAACCCTTGTTATCTTTGAGTCTAGGGGACGTCGGTTGTGCCACACTCACACATTAATCAAACATTTGTCATTAGATCCAGTGGGTGACATGTCAGGATGACCTCTGAAAACCACAGTAGACGCAGGTTTTATTGCAAACAGTTTGAACCTTGCACCAGCTGTGAATGGAAGACAACTGTCACAGAGCTGCCTGTGCATCAGGAGACCACAATAAAGGAAGAGAGGAATTTCATGTACACAGCTAATCCCCCCGAATGTCAGCAAATTCCCAAACACCCAGCGCTGAGACAACAGGACAATGGCTGCTACGGCAACAGGACAATCCCAGAGTCTGGTGTGTTAACTTTAAATACCCTTTCTGTTCAATATACAGCCTGCTTCTCCATATACATGGAGGAAAGTGAAATCTGCTTTATAGGGATATGAATCCAAGAGAAACATGTTGTCATGGAAGTTGTCACTTTGTTATGTGATCATTTATATTTCCTCACCTTGTTTGCATCAGGACTGGTGCAACTATCTAATAAAGTATATCCCCTCCAACTGTCTCTCTAATAAAGCATATCCCCTCCAACTGCCTCTCTTAAAACGTATATACCCTCCAACTGTCTCTCTAATAAAGGATACCCCTACAACTGCCTCTCTAATAAAGGATATCCCCTCCAGCTGCCTCTCTAATAAAGGATACCCCTACAACTGCCTCTCTAATAAAGTATATACCCTACAAGTGTCTCTCTAATAAAGGATACCCCTACAACTGCCTCTCTAATAAAGTATATACCCTACAAGTGTCTCTCTAATAAAGGATATCCCCTCCAACTGCCTCTCTAATAAAGGATATCCCCTCCAACTGTCTCTCTAATAAAGGATATCCCCTCCAGCTGCCTCTCTAATAAAGGATATCCCCTCCAACTGTCTCTCTAATAAAGCATATCCCCTCCAACTGCCTCTCTTAAAACGTATATACCCTCCAACTGTCTCTCTAATAAAGGATATCCCCTCCAACTGCCTCTCTAATAAAGGATATCCCCTCCAGCTGCCTCTCTAATAAAGGATACCCCTACAACTGCCTCTCTAATAAAGTATATACCCTACAAGTGTCTCTCTAATAAAGGATTTCCCCTCCAACTGCCTCTCTAATAAAGGATATCCCCTCCAACTGTCTCTCTAATAAAGGATATCCCCTCCAGCTGCCTCTCTAATAAAGGATACCCCTACAACTGCCTCTCTAATAAAGTATATACCCTACAAGTGTCTCTCTAATAAAGGATATCCCCTCCAACTGCCTCTCTAATAAAGGATATCCTCTCCAGCTGCCTCTCTTAAAAAGTATATACCCTCCAACTGTCTCTCTAATAAAGGATACCACTCCAACTGCCTCTCTAATAAAGGAATACCACTCCTGTTTTGGACCCGTGAAACAAAGCCATAACCTTCTTTCTGTCTCTTCATTTACAATACAATAGTCCAAATGATGTTTGAGGTGGAGCATGTGTTTGATAATGTTTAATCTTGTCAAGAAAAAAGGAAGAAAACTTAAGCTGGGTAGCGGCAACAATATCAGCGGAAAGCACAATAGTTTCAGGAGTAGATGGGGTGGTCTCTATGGGTTCATGTTGCCTGGATATAGCATCCGCTTTGATATTGTGGTAACCAGATCTATAAATTATAGTAAACAGGAAAAGAACAACAACCATCTAGCTTGACAAGAAGATAAACGTCTGGCCTCAGCGATATATGAGAGATTCTTATGGTCAGTAATGACTAGGATAGGGTGTCTGGAACCCTCCAGCAAATGTCTCCACTCTTTGAAGGCCAGAACAATTGCTAGCAGTTCCCTATTCCCAACATTGTAGTTTCTCCCTGAGTCAGAAAGCTTCTTGGAGAAATAACAGCATGGGTGGAGAGGGTCCTTATGGGTTTTTCTCTGGGAAAGAACTGCTTTGACACCTGACTCGGATGCATCTACTTCAACAATAAATGGTAGCAACGGGTCAGGATGGTGCAGAACAGGAGCTGTCATAAACGCTTATTTAAGCGTTTCAAAAGCCTCAAGAGCCTCGGGACCCCAATTACGAGGATAAGTTCCCTTCTTAGTCATCTTGGTAATGTGGGCAATAATGGAGGAGAAGTTCTTTATGAAATTCCTGTAGTAGTTCGCAAACCCTACAAAGCTTTGTATGGCTTTAAGTCCTTGTGGAAGTGGCCATGACTTAATAGCTTCCAATTTAGAGGGTCCATACTAAAGCCTTTTTCTGATATGACGTCCCCAAGGAACTGTACAGAGGTCTGGTCGAAGAGCCACTTCTTCAGTTTGCAGTAAAGACCGTTTTGTAGCAGTTTGTGGTGGGTTTTAAGGTCGGGAGAATAAATGAGTATGTTGTCCAAGTATACCACTGCAAATACGTGCTGTATGTCACGGAGGACGTCATTTATTAAGTCTTGGAAGACCGTATCCTACACATTATAATACTATACTATATTATACTACACACTATTATACTATACTATATTATGGTACACACTATAATACTATAATATATTATACTACACACTATATTACTATACTATATTATGCTACACACTATAATACTATACTATATTATACTACACACTATAATACTATACTATATTATACTATACACTATAATATAACAGTATATTATAATACACACTATTATACTACACTATATTATACTACACACTATTATACTATACTATATTGTACTACACACTATAATACAACAGTATATTATAATACACTATAATACTATACTATATTATACTACACACTATTATACTATACTATATTATACTACACACTATAATACTATACTATATTATACTACACACTATTATACTATACTATATTATACTACACACTATAATACTATACTATATTATACTACACACTATAATACAACAGTATATTATAATACACTATAATACTATACTATATTATACTACACACTATTATACTATACTATATTATACTACACACTATAATACTATACTATATTATACTACACACTATTATACTATACTATATTATACTACACACTATAATACTATACTATATTATACTACACACTATAATACTATACTATATTATACTACACACTATAATACTATACTATATTATACTACACACTATTATAGTATACTATATTATACTACACACTATAATACTATACTATATTATACTACACACTATAATACTATACTATATTATACTACACACTATAATATTATACTATATTATGCTACACACTATTATACTATACTATATTATACTACACACTATAATATAACAGTATATTATAATACACTATAATACTATACTATATTATACCACACACTATAATATAACAGTATATTATACTACACACTATAATATAACAGTATATTATAATACTCACTATTATTTTACACACATTATAATTCTATACTAGATAATGTTCTCTGTGTTTTTCTGTTGTTATGAAGGTCCATTTCCGGGTTTGGGCACAGGATTGTAAATCATTAATGAGCATTAAATAAATGAAAGCTGGGACAGACGGATCACAGGACATTTCTTTACTGGAACTCAAGCTATTGGAATCGTATGAATCGACTTCCCATAACTTACTGCTGTGGGGCATTATTTTAAAATGGTTGGAATAGAAAATCAGACAATGGAAATAAAGTGTAAAATGTGATGGTAAACAATGGATTAGATAAAGACTGGCATCTATGAGATGTTTCATATCACAGTCCACGTTCTCATACAGCACGCTATGGAATGGGCTCTGGAGACATGGCTGACTTATAAATCCATATCATTTAAGACATGCTTATTATGGATTTATGTTGTTTTCAAACAGTGAAACTAATCGATTGGATCTGATGAACTCTTGTGTGTATCCCATATCCCCCACCATAGCTGGGAACTGACTATTATATGAAAAGAAAGAGTGTATCGAACACATTGACAAACTCTAAACACAACAAACAAAACAAGTTCACGGTTATACAATAATTCATTCTGAAAATGTCTAAAACCTTTTAATATTTTTACTTTAGCCAACATATCTTAGATGGTGTTATAAGGTGAGATTCCTTTCCTTGTTAACCAGCTGATGCTGATTGTCTGTACAATGTATAACCTGTTTGTGATATTTTAATTATTTTATTATTTATTTAGCGCCATCAGATTCCGTAATAGATCCCTCTATGCATGCCGTGGGCATGTTTGTGTATATACTATAACATGTGATATATATACCAGGAAGGATACATTGAAATATGTTACGGCCTTTGGCGTGTGAGCTGTGTGGCCACACAGCTCGCCATAGCCATCTGCCTGTAACTCTGTGTGTGTGTGTGTGTGTGTTTGTCTGCCTGTAACTGTGAGTATGTGATAGTCTGTCTGTAACTGTGTGTGTGTGTTTGTATGCCTGCAACTGTGTGTATGTGATTGTCTGTCTGCAACTGTGTGTGTGTGTGTGTGTGTGACTGCCTGCCTGTAACTGTGTGTGTGTGACTGCCTGTAACTGTGTGTGTGTGACTATATTCCTGTAACTCTATGTGTATTTGTCTGCCTGTAATTCTGTGTATGTGACTGTCTGTCTGTAAATGTGTGTGTGTGTGATTGTCTGTCTGCAACTGTGTGCGTGTGTCTGCCTGTAACTCTGTGTGTGTTTGTCTGCCTGTAATTGTGTGTATGCGATTGTCGGTCTGTAACTGTGTGTGTGTTTGTCTGCCTGTAACTGTGTGTGTGTTTGTGTGTGTGTGTGTCTGACTGCCTGCCTATAAATGTGTGTGTGTGTGTGTGTGACTGCCTGTAACTGTGTGTGTGACTATATTCCTGTAACTCTGTCTATTTGTCTACCTGTAAATCTGTGTATGTGACACTATGTAACTCTATGTGTGTGACTTCCTGCCTGTAACTGTGTGTGTGTGTGTCTGTCTCCCTGTCACTATGTGTGTGACTTTCTGTCTGTAACTGTGTGTGTGACTCTTTCTATTTCTCTGTGTGACTGTATGCCTGTAACTCTGTGTGTGTCTCTGTCTGCCTGTCACTGTGTGTGTGACTATATTCCTGTAACTCAGTGTGTATTTGTCTGCCTGTAACTCTGTGTATGTGACTGTCTGTCTGTAACTCTATGTGTGTGTGTGTGTGTGTGTTTCTCTGTCTGCCTGTCACTGTGTGTGTGACTTTCTATCTGTAACTGTGTATGTGACTCTTTCTGTTTCTGTGTGTGACTGTCTGATTGTAACTGTGTGTGTAAAAACAGAAAGAAAATTGGAGCAACACCTGGACAATGCATTTCGCAGAAATGGTGCTGCTGTAGTGACCCAAATGACCAGTATGGCCATATGTTGGAACTGAATCCCCATATTATTTTGCTGAGATAGGTGATTTTAAGTAGCCTTGTAAAAATTAAAAATGTATTTTTATGTGTGTGTTGTTCCTTAATCTGTATTTTGTATAATTTTGCTCAATATGGAAGCACCAATTACTTTTTTCCTTTGCTTTGTAAGTTCAGACCAGATTCCTTTTGGAAGCCCCTCAGCTTCAGAGGCCCCTTTGGAGGTGACCACGGGTACATATATGAGGAGGTTTTGGATAGTAATGTTACTTTAGTTACAATTCTCATGTAACTGTGAGTGTGTCTGTGTGCGAGTGTCTATATTTAACAGAATATGTGTATAACTGTGTGTATCTGACTGTGGGACTGCAAAACCATATGACATCATTCACACATGGGCCTACATGCAATTCCCATCACACACAGTCAATACACACAAATATCGCGCACAGTCAATACACTCATAACAAATATCGATAACGATTCGCCCGAAGCAGAAGCTCTATAATGTCTGCATGTTACATTTTATATAGCGGATATCGATAACGATTCGCCCGAAGCAGCAGCTCTAGAATGTCTGCGTGTTACATTTCTATATAGCCGGATGCTCGATAACGATTCGCCCGAAGCAGCAGCTCTATAATGTCTGCGTGTTACATTTTATATAGCGGATATCGATAACGATTCGCCCGAAGCAGCAG